GCAAAGCTACACGAGGGCTATCGGCGCTAGTCGTCCCTAATTTAGCAGAGTAAGACTAGAGGGAAGGCAGCTATTGTAATAGAACTAGTATTTCTACCTTAGAACAATATATCACCATTTTCAGGTAATGGACCTCAAAATTGAAGTTATTTCCGATAAATAGAATTTCTTTAAAATATAGATATAGGTTAGTAACTTTACGAAAAAGTAGCTCGGCATGTCAATAACTTGTTTCGTAACTTTTAAAAACTTGTAAAGTTTTTTCTTGACAGTATAGTTTAAATTATATATTTTTTTCTATTTTAGCTATTTATTTTTATTTTAACAAAACTTGCAGAGTAACTGAAATACAAACCCTGCAGCAACTAACCTATTTCAGTATAATTAAACGCATACATCATTCCTCAAATATTAATATAAAAAAAAAAACAGATAGAGTAACGGTTCATATAAACTTATGCGAATTTCAGTATAGTAAAACACACATATTCTAAAGCCAGTATATATTGCATAACCACTAATCCCGGTTTCGTTATTTACAGTTAAATTGGGGCTACAGCTATGTAGACTTACTACTAACCAATTACACGAAAATTAGTACCTGGATGATAACTTGGTTTACGTTGGAGCAATTGAACTACAAATATCCTTGTTACTTTATAAATCATGAATACTATTATGCATTTCATTAATTACCAATGTATTATCTTATCTAAGTTTGTATACTTTCTTTCATCGTTGCTATGATTTATATACGAAGATCATACATCTAAGAAACTCAATGTAATACCAATGCGCTATCTGTTTAAAAAAATATACGACAACTCGAAGTAACAAATTTTTCACTGGTTTTGTAGTTTAACTCAAGGGATAAGAAAAAGTTATACTTTAATAACCGTATTCCAACAAATACAAGAAAATACATACCGTTAAATATCGATGATTTATCGCCTACTCGTATAACAGGAGAAATATTGAACTAAAATATATTCGTCTATGAGAATCTCTCTGCGTGCATTGTACGGCTGAGCTTTATTTATATTCCGTTATGCTGAATCAAAACCAAAACTGATTCCGAAACATGGCACGCTTAGCAAGGCACCACGTAGTTACAACATATGCATCACGTGAAAAAATTTTAGTGAGATTTAAACGCATTGGACAAATATACTTTAGAAAATATTAAATATGACCTATGTTAATGTATATTATAACCCTGGAAATCAATAAAATTTCGTTTTACAAACGCTAATGAGTTTGGAATTATAATGTTATGTAGAAAAATCTAATAAGAATAATTATAGGTAAATATGTTTCATCTACGCGCAACTGAAACATTCCATCTTAATTGGTCAGAGTTATAGGTTGTTTATCACACACAAAATTTTACATTGATAGTGATACAAGCCTATTTCAATACAATAAAAAGCGCGTATCATTCCCTAAATATTAACATAGAAAACAAATTAACAACCTTTATAAACATTATATATATTATATAAAATAACAGGGAAAGAGAAGGAGACAGAAAAATGAACTTAAATTTCATGAGTAATTGCTCATGTTATAAACACGAATATAACATAAACTTAAGTGTAGACAAACGACGGTGTATAAAATGGAAGTTTTATTTTTTATACAGAATAAAGTGCTGGAGGAAACTTGATTTAACTCTTTCACTGACACGTTTATAGATAAACTTTTCTAGAGCCAGGTTTATTTCTAGATACTCAATAAAAAGCAGAAAGACACGTGTTTTTATATTTTATCATTTATCAGAAACCTACTACTGGTAAAGTTTTAGTTGTTTCTAGAAGATTACCATATATTCATGATAGTTTAACGTTCCAAATTCACGCTCTAGAATTAGCATATTAGACGGTGGATATGAGCTTCTGTGGTTCGCGTCTTCCGATGGTCAGCAGTAAGCTTGTGGACTTAAAATCCTGTGAGTCGAATAGCTGCTTAAATTGGCAGAATAAATAAATCATTATTTTGTACGAATTGCTGCTTAATCTGGTATGAGAAAAAATAATTATTATCTTGTAGAAATATCTGCTTAAGTTAACTTGTATTCGGTGTAAATACTTATAAGTAAGTCTATACCTTGGACAAAATCAAGTGCTTAAATAAAGGCTTTAAAGTTGTAACAAATATTTTGAAAGGAGTTAAAGACGTGGAAAAAGATGAATGTTACAAATTAGGAAAATTATTATAATTTTAAGAACCGTACTTTTAAGAACTTTTACTTTGTATATTAAATATTTATTGCGAAGATAAATTTATATCATAAACAAGTTACGTTAATTTTACATTGCAGTTGCTAATATTTGCTTCGTTTCAGATCATACTCTATTAACGGGAAGTGTATCAACTTTATAATCCTTTATAATACAAAATTGATGTAATATATTGCAAAACGACATGTTTTTAAAGCATTATAATTATATATATATTTAAAGATAAGTTAACGTAACAGCTCTGTAATCTTAACGATGAACCGGTTAGTGTTCGGATGGTGAATTTATTGAAATAACATAGCTACATAACCGTATTACTCTGTAACCATGATTACTGCATGCATTTCATTCATTACTAACATATTATTTTACATATTTGTATAACGTTTCATTTTTATTTCCCTTGTTGGCTTAGCAGTAACTTCGAGGGCTTATAACGCTAAAATTCGAGGTTCGATCCATGTGATGGACACATAACAGCTTAAAACAAAAAGGTAATATTAATATTCAAGTGTAAAAATGTTATATCTAACAATGAAAACAAAATCAAATCCTGTTGTCCTATCTTTTTAAAAACATAGGCTTTCACGTACAAATACTTTAACTGATGTAACCATGGTGACATGTAGGAGAGTCTGAAGCTATAGAGGTCTTTTATATGAGCTACAACTACAGAAGGTTGAGTTCGTTATATTAAAAGAAACTGTGAATATTCCATTATCAAGTCACGTGATAATCACAGCCCATATAAAGGCGCGATGGAATGGAATGTATCAGAACTACATTTGAAATCGTTTAGCATTTTGTAGATAGTTTGATGCCACTGAAAACTGATCGCTTTTGGGAAGGGTATGTAACAACCCTTTCCGACGCAAAATATTCATACACTCAGTTCATAAAGATGTGTTGAGATCGGGGATTTAGAACTTTTAAGACAGGGATATCTCTTGTACTTAATGGCTTGATAAAACGTATGTGGATCAACTTAGGATACTAGAACCATTCCGAAAAAAGACCTGAAAAACATCGTACCCCAGCTGTGGTAAGCAGAGTATGGCGTCTTGTAACAGGTGAGAATCTATGAACACAGTATGCAACGTATTGAATGAGGAAAAACGACACAAGCCACATACGAGTTTCTTCCGCGGCACCTACGTTCAAGCGTTGCATATCTCAAGAATTGGGAAAAGGGAATAGGTATTCATCCTATTTTATATGAAGACATGCCAGTTAAGTCGCTGGGTGCAGCGCCTATGAATTTGTATAATTGCACATTAAATGGATTATGGAAAGGTAGCAGGAAAGAGTGGTGTGCTGTGGACATAACACCCTTATGGCGGAGGTTTTGGAATAGATACTTTGCTGCATGGCTATTTTCAAGATACATGATCATCAGATAGAGCATTACCAAACATTTTGACATGGACTGTAACGATGTGGTGATGCTTCAATTTCTTTTTATATATGTACTCTCTTTACGTGTGGAAATGAAAGCTATCTTTAGTTTGTACAGATACAAAGAGTCATAAATATGTCTAAGGATGGAGCTCTAGATCAGGATAATGTAAGAATCCCAAATTGTACGAAGAGTCAGAGTATCAACATAGCTAAGCAACAGTTAGTATCGCTGAAATATGGAATTACCCAAATCCATGAACGATCATTCTCATCTTAAAGGCTGTCAAATCATCATCATACAAAACGTTATTGACAATATTCAGAGAAGACTATAGCTATAAAAATCGCCTGTCAGACTCAAACATTACTATCCCTAGCTGTTTGTGCTAGTAATTACTAATTGTAGTATTCATACCTCATTGAAAAAAGAAAAGAAAAAGTGAACATTTTCTAAAAAGGATTTTTTTCCTGGGAATTATTGCATGGGAAAAGTGTTCGGATTGTGCTCTTTAGTCATACACAACTCATTGCATCAAAATGATTCAATGTATAGAGCTCAACATTTTCATAAATTTTAATGATATAAACTTTAATGGTTTTATATATTAAAAGTGGTACCGTTTTTTGAAAAATAATAGTTTTTAAGAACTCCAGTACTACATTTAAAAATTACACCAATAAAGATATAATCAAACCTTCCCGTGTAGTCCCAGTTAAAGTCATGTTCTTGTTTTGAGGAGAGTACGTTTATCTATAATTATGTTACATTATAAAAAAATGGTTGTTGCACATACCACAGTTATTTTCTAATTGTCTGAATCTTGAATACCCAGAGTGTGAGTTTTTTATGGATTTTTGTTTGTGGTGACATTTAATAGATGGCGAAGGAGTTTTGGTTACATACATAGATACTGGCATACATGCCATTATAGTAAGATAACATTATTAATATTAGATGGTTATCTCAATGGAAGAGAAACCTTGGTTAGTGATGCTGAATTTGCAGATGATACACGAGAAGTCTTTAAAGCTGGTCAGTAGCATTAGATCTGGAATGTGCCTACAATAGAGTCCAACTCCAATTATTGCTGATAAAATGCTCAGAATCAGTGTCAGTGTAAAATGTGTAAGGTGATTCATAGCTTCACTAACTACTTGAAGGTGCATAATAAAGCATGGAAGCTGGCAACCAGACTAGATCACCATCAATATATATCTGCCACTAGGATCACACTCTCGACAATTCCCTTCTACATAGAATTCATGGATCTAACCCTGACAGTCTAACCAGATGATGTGTTCTATCCTTTGCTGACGACATTCTGGTGTACAGCAGAGACCCTAGAAAAGTTGAAATCAAACTCAAGATGCAGCCATCCTTTAGAAGGGCGAGTGTTAGATATACACGACTGTTTTCATTTATATCTAATGCAAGTGTCCTGATTTAGATAGTTTATATAATGCGAGTGTTAAATTTAATTATTTTTAGAAGTGATAGTTTATCAGAGGTTTGTTTACGTAACCGTTTGCGAATCATGCATTCTGTAGTTCAATAGTTATAATTAGCGATTGTTATATTATTGCATCATGTTACTAGAACCTTCTGAGTTTTTCTAGTTGTTTTAATTGGGTATTCTTGCATCATAATATCTAGGAGGAGTGGAACGTTTTAGATCTCAGTCGAGGTATAAATACACGTCGAAAATGTACCTCGAAAGTTAGATCTAGACTGTATGGTTGTGTGTTTAGCCATAAAAACCGTAAAGTAGCGATTCTTAAAGTGAAATTATCACAGATTTTATTGTAGTAACAGAGTAGAAAAAATGTGGTCTAAAGGAACTGAGCCAATATGTGTGGACTTTGACGAAAAGAGACGATTATTTAAAGCTCTGTAATGAAAATTTCTGTATACGTTTGTTTGGTTGAAGTTAAGCACAAAGCTACACAAGAGGGTATGTGTGCTCTGCCCACCACGTGCACTGAAACCCGGTTTCTAGCGTTGCAAGTACGCAGACATACCGCTGTACCGCTTGGAGGCGTATACGTTTGACTTATTTTAATATGTTATTTTAAAACAAGTGGACTGTGTGCTGTTTGTTTATTGTTCAAATTTATCTCTAACAAGTCACAGACACCTACTGTAAAGAATCTAGCCTATACAAAACCTTACAGTGAGCAAATGGTACAATGACACAGGAATGGTAATAAATCCTGTCAGAGTCGTAGCCATGCTCTGCACACTCAACAACAGAGATGCTGTTGGAAACAAATTATCATTATCCTTTGTGGGCACTGCTATTCCTCAGTGAGAAACATTTATAGAAAACTAAACACCACCAACCACATTAACACTGTGATAACCAAACTACCAAAGGCGTCA